TATCACATTGCTGATTATGCTGAAAAAATAAAAATGGTGGCCGTGTAAACACGTGGTGATAGCTTATATTTGTAAATATTGAAATATTTCGGTTGTTTTTATTGAAATTTTTCAGCATAATCAGCACTATGATACCTTACTTCCCATCATCCCCTGCAGGCATAAACTAAAAGCTGGAATTGCCTATTGAGTGCAATGTAAACAATTTCTAGCACAGCAAGCAGGATAAAATCTCATAAACGCAAGCAAAATTCATCCCGCTTACCGGGCTATCTCGTTTAGCGGGCCAGCCCTGCTAAGGCATGCTTCCATATAAACAGCCCCGTAGAAATGTTTCTTAAAATATTTGTAAATCCCCCCCCGACCTTTCTAACTCTCAAATAGTTCATTACACATTTATTGGTTAGGGAAGGGGTTGGGGTCTGTTTATCCATACCTTATCTTAAATATTCCGACTACAGTAGTCAGTACAAATAGCAAAACCAAACTAGGCCACAGAATAAAGAAGATAGAGCAGAAGCGTAACTCTAGTCGTTTCCCTTATTGTTTTACGTCCACAAAGTTTTAACTCGCTCACGCCAATCCACGCCATCCTGGCTAGTACAGCCAGAAGTTTTTATCAGGTTTTGGTCAGTGAACTATATATACTATATATTATATATATATATATATAATATATATATATATATATATATATATATATATATATATATATATATATATATATATATATATATATATATATATATATATATGGAATATATATATATATATATATATATCTGGAATGATAACATTCAGTCATTTGATTGTGAAAACAATGAAGCCTCGATACCAGTCTTTCACGCGGATTGAACGTCAGTCTCAGTCCCTCAAACGTCAGGTTTACGCGGATTGGACGTCAGTTTCATTCCCCCTCTGCAAACCGTTGCACGGCCAGTATAAATTTGAACGCAATCACGAAAAAAAATTAAAAACATGGCCAACTCAATGCAATACATTTTAGGAGCAAACTGTTTTGCTCCTAAAATTTACTGCATTGAGTTCGCTGTCGGAAAAAAGTCGAGGAAAACTTCCCCGTGTGGAGAAAAGAATAGGCTTTTTCAAATATATTGTGTCATTCTGGATGCACAAGGAAAGAGATATTCTTGCGAGGAAAATTTCATTTCACAGGTAGGTAAATTGACTTGCAACTGTGACTTTGCCATTTTTGCGATTGTTTGAATTGTTTTTTAGTTTACCAGTTTTATAGTTATTTTTTAAAGAATTTATTGTGTGATCGGAATTTGCCTGCCAGCAAAATGTAAATGAATATGTACGTGTGTTTGAATATAAATTAGACCATATGGGCTCAGTAAAAAATTATTTTAATAACTACGTTTCGGAGTATAACTCCATCTTCAGGTTAAAAGTGAATAAAGATATAAAAACTGTGATAAAAACTTTTAAAACAATTACAAATTTTATATGTAAGTGATTTTTAATACTGTAAGAAAGTTCTTGAACAGTTGATGACGAAGACAATGACGAATACTTATGTCGTGATTTTTATGTCGGTTCAAATTTCGATCTCCGCCGCGCATTTTACAAACTTTCCAGTCTGGTATTAATGTACAACTAAATGAACTAATTACTAAAAAGTAAACAAACCTTTAAACTGAAGAACTTGATTGGCTTGTATACATTGGTTTTTTTGTCATATAGTTCAATTGCTGTTGCTTGTAAATGTTTTATAAACCAGTACCGCGAAGTAGCGAAATTTCGGGCCGTCTTTCACAACAAATAACATCACAATAACTGCACATCATTTTCTCTTTAATACAGAATCATTTTCCCCGTCCATTGAGTTATAATTTCCAAAACGAACCAGTCGCTATAACGTAAAATAAGCGGGTATTTGTGAACAAAAATGCCGTTTGATATAATACGAGGTAACCAGCGCCATCTTGTCTTCTCCAAACATTACAGATTTTCCCGCCAAAACCCGCCTCCAAAGTCCCGTATGTACCTGACGTCACAAGTGTCATCGACGGGGGGGGGGGACTACCATATTTTGTGGTAAAAATTTTTTCAAAAATACGCACTAAATCCAATTTTAATCTCTTTACCTTCGCTACTTTTGCTTTCCACATGCCAACAAAACTAGCTTCTTAGCACATACATAGCATACGCTTTATAAAATACTTAAAAAAATGGACCTAAACAATATTGGCAGGCCTTAAAATATCGGTCGGTCACGGACATTGTCCGACCCATTCGTGAAATTGTCCGACGTAGAGAGGAAACCACCGGACATTCTGTCCGACCAAAGTGAAACTGAGGTTTATTGTTTGTCCGACCCAAGTGAATTGGTGTCCGAACGAACTGCAGCTTTGTCCGACGTAAATCAAAATGTACCCTAGCCACGACTAGAGGCTTGTATGTTAAATGGAAAATCAGAGTACTATTGTATAAAAGGTGAACTGGAAATGTTGTTTTAACATAGTCGAGCGCGGGGCGGCGAGCGAAATGGTGAAATGGAAAACGGGCTTAAGTTGTCAAAGTATTTTTTAACACTGCTGTTCTGGCAAATATCTTTATATCTTTTTAAATTAATATCTTTATAACATTTACCGTTTATTCATTTGTGTCATTCAGACTTATTTCCGAGTCAAAACTGAACTGAAGGTCATCGGACATATGTCCGACCCAAACTCAACGTCACCGGACATTTTGTCAAACGGCCCTGTAAAAGATATTTTAAGGCCTGATTGGAGCGACCACAATTTTGGAAAGTTTCTCCGGAAATTTTTCTCACTTGATGAAAAAACTTTTTCATCTCTTTTTTGTACCTTTAAAACTTAATAAATACTCTACTACAAAACATAATTAAACTGTGGTTGGTAGTTTGATCTTGTTAGAATACCTTTTTTCCTAACTTTCAGACGAATAAATGGGAAAACGAATCAGCAAAATAGGGAAATTCACACAAATACTTATGATTAGACCACGGCAAGCTCCACTCCTCGCTCAACGTTTTTTTTTCAAAAAAGGAAATTTAATTATGAATTCTACACAAATAAATTAAAAATATTTTACTCTAGAGTTTTGAAGGATGTTTTTATTGTAAAAAATGTACTGGTAGGTGCATTTTACGTCGTTTTAAATCATGTTTTAGTGCATTTTTTTTACCCAGTTTTGGAAATTTAAAAAACCCGCGTTCATTTCCGTCACAGAAAAGAAAATGGACCAGAAGCCTCACTGTATATCTTTTCCTAACATTTTCGTGTCCGCGATTTTCGCCTTGCGGATCACGAATTTCGCACGCTAGATGACGTGTGTGACACTTGCTGCGAACATCACGTCAGTGTTCGTCAGCAAAACGGTTAAAACAGCAATCTTTATTACCTAGTGATGGCGTCGTGATTACACTTGCTGGCTCGCGCCTGCGCATAAAAAATCTTGGACATAATTTTGGCTAAGTGAGGCTTCTGGTCTATTTTCTATTCTGTGTTTCCGTTACGTGAAAACACTGGGCATGACAACAGTGGGCATGCCTGGGCCAGTGAACTCTCTCTCTCTATATATATATATATATATATATCTGGAATGATAACATTCAGTCATTTGATTGTGAAAACAATGAAGCCTCGATACCAGTCTTTCACACGGATTGGACGTCAGTCTCAGTCCCTCAAACGTCAGGTTTACGCGGATTGGACGTCAGTTTCATTCCCCCTCTTGCAAACCGTTGCACGGCCAGTATAAAGTTGAACGCAATCACGAAAAAAAATTAAAAACACGGCCAACTCAATGCAATACATTGTAGGAGCAAACAGTTTTGCTCCTAAAATTTACTGCATTGAGTTCGCTGTTGGAAAAAAGTCGAGGAAAACTTCCCCGTGTGGAGAAAAGAATCACTTTTTCAAATATATTGTGTCGTACTGTCGTTCTGGATGCACAAGGAAAGAGATATTCTTGCAAGAAAATTTCATTTCACAGGTAGGTAAATTGACTTGCAATTAACTGTGACTTTGCCGTTGCCATTTTTCGCGATTGTTTGAATTGTTTTTTAGTTTACCAGTTTTATAGTTTTTAGTCAATACACTGGTACGTTATTTTTTAAAGAATTTATTGTGTGATGGGAATTTGCCTGCCAGCAAAATGTAAATGAATATGTACGTGTGTTTGAATATAAATTAGACCATATTATGGGCTCAGTAAAAAATTATTTTAATAACTACGTTTCGGAGTATAACTCCATCTTCAGGTTAAAAGTGAATAAAGATATAAAAACTGTGATAAAAACTTTCAAAACAATTACAAATTTTATATGTAAGTGATTTTTAATACTGTATTAAGCACAGAATACTACACAGAAGTGCATCTCCATTGTTTTTAGCGTAAGCTCTATTTGTCATGATTCGTCACTCAGCAAGTACCGTAAACAGAAGCAATCGCCCCCCTGGACATACGCCATTTTTAGTATTTCCAGGAGGGGGACTGCTTCTGTTTACGGTACTTGCTGAGTGACGAATCATGACGAATAGAGCTTACGCTAAAAACAATGGAGATGGACTTCTGTGTAGTATTCTGTGCTGTAAGAAAGTTCTTGAACAGTTGATGACGAAGACAATGACGAATACTTATGTCGTGATTTTTTTGTCGGCTTCACTTTTCGCTCGCTGTTATCATTCCAGATATATATATAGAGAGAGTTCACTGGCCTGGGCATGGCTTCACATTTCCGGCTGGAGGTATCGTTCCAGTTATTTTTAGTTCAATGGGTATACCTTCCTATTCTGTGACTAGGCGTACTGTTCCAGTACTTCGTATTAATGTACAACTAAATGAACTAATTATTAAAAAGTAAACAGACCTTTAAACTGAAGAACTTGATTGGCTTGTATACATTGGTTTCTTTGTCATATAGTTCAATTGCTGTTGCTTGTAAATGTTTTATAAACCAGTACTGCGAAGTAGCGAAATTTCGGGCCGTCTTTCACAACAAATAACATCACAATAACTGCACATCATTTTCTCTTTAATACAGAATCATTTTCCCCGTCCACTGAGTTATAATTTCCAAAACGAACCAGTCACTATAACGTAAAATAAGCGGGTATTTGTGAACAAAAATGCCGTTTGATATAACACGAGGTAACCAGCGCCATCTTGTCTTCTCCAAACATTACAGATTTTCCCGCCAAAACCCGCCTCCAAAGCAAAGATTAGATACTATAGTATCTAATCTTAGTATCTAATCTTTGTCCAAAGTCCCGTATGTACTTGACGTCACAAGTGTCATCGACGGGGGGGGACTACCATATTTTGTGGTAATTTTTTTTCAAAAATACGCACTAAATCCAATTTTAATCTCTTTACCTTCGCTACTTTTGCTTTCCACATGCCAACAAAACTAGCTTCTTAGCACATACATAGCATACGCTTTATAAAATACTTAAAAAAATGGACCTAAACAATATTGGAGCGACAACAATTTTGGAAAGTTTCTCCGGAAATTTTTCTCACTTGATGAAAAAACTTTTTCATCTCTTTTTTTCTTTTCTTTTTTCACATTATTGTACGTTGGAACAGCACTATAGTATCAATAGTATCAATATATATATAGCCTTAGTCTTAGAATGTTATATATTTTATGGCAATATTTTATAAAAATTTCATCGGCAAGTTGCTGAATATTTCAAAAGTATCAACAATTAATAATGTTTCCAAGACCTCTCTGAAAATCGGAAGCAAGTCATTAAAATGATATAATTATATGTTCTATTTCATTTCAAAAAGCAAACAAATGTTCCTCTTTTGTTACGATAGCACTACCCTGGATTCCAAAGCCTTTGACAGTAAATAATGAATTGAAACATTGCGAAAGCTCTGGTTCAACAGGAAGATTCTTTGATTTATAAACCGTGTCAATCACAGAACAGAATTAGTGCTGTTAGTACAGAATCTGTACTGATTACTAAAACCACTAATTCTGTTTTGTGATTGGCGCAGTTTAATCAAAGAATCTTCCCGTTGAACCAGAGCCTTCGCGATGTTTCAATTTATTATTTATTGTCGAAGGCTCTGGAATCCAGGGTATGATAGCCGGTCAGTATAATCTGCGGACTGCAGACTGCAGACCGGGGTACAAAATGCAGACTGGGGGTATAAAATGCAGACTGAGGATAAAATGCCAACACACTGAGCTATATACTGTAACACTTCTGGAGTTATGGCACAGAGCTATGTATTACTGGAGTATACTATACCAACCAACTAATTTATTCTCTATTTATTTCACCTTTTAAATAAATTACAATAAATTTCTTTGAAAAATGACAGATTGCCTGAATTCAAAAATACAAAAACTCCTACGAATATTTTACGAAGCCAAAAAACAGCTTGTTTACAAATTGGGCTGCACAAAAGTGCACCAAAGCTGACAGTTTTTGGAGTACACACTGTCCAAAACACAAAGTCCGTTGTCTTGGATGTCCATAAAATAAGTCAACTTTTGCGTGGCATTTTTCTCTAAAACACTGGTTCGTTTGAAAAGATACACTTGAAGCCATTTTACTACCAACACACGGAAAACCAACAGCTTTGAAAAGCAACCAGTACGACACGCCAAAACAGACACAAACCAAATACGTTTGAAAATTATTCCCCTGGCCACACACTGAATTAATCCTGGCTGTCTCCTTTCTTTAATCTGACAGAGGGGCGTTTTTTCGGTTCCCACGTTAGAGATGTTTTGTACAGCGAGTTTTCATCCATCAGGATTTCTTGATTGAACAGATAGTCTGTGACCTACCAAGAGAATTATAATTATAATTGGACCTCAAGAGAGAACAGTTCAGAACTGTTACAGCGATCCAGACTAAATACAGTACAGTTAGTTTAGTACTTTAGTTTAGGTTTCCTCCTGTAGAAACACTGCATCAATAAGAGATGATCCTTACTGGACCTCTAGGGAGAACAGTTTAGAACTGATAGAGCTATCCAGTACAAATAAAGTTAGTTTAGTTTAGGTTTCCTCCTGTAGAAACACTGCATCAATAAGAGATGATCCTTACTGGACCTCTAGGGAGAACAGTTTAGAACTGATAGAACTATCCAGTATAAATAAAGTTAGTTTAGTTTAGGTTTCCTCCTGTAGTAGTAACACTGGTTCAATAAGAGATGATTCTTACTGGACCTCTAGGAAGAACAGTTTTGAACTGATTGAGCTATTCAGTATAAATAAAATTAGTTTAATTTACAGTCAACTAACCCTCGAGTCGTGTTGAATATTGTAGCGAATTTCCTGATATTGACGGATCTCTTCGACAACTTGTGCGATCTGTGAAAAATGTTTTCATTAGATATCATAGCGTAAGATATCATCAATAAAATATTTGGTTATAAGAACAAGAGCGTACCATTCTCATTTTGGAGAAATTAATCAAACCATTTTCATTCTTGACGGACGTTCCTTCCTCTATAAACGCCAGGTCAGTGAGATAGAAGCCAAGATACGGAATGCATGGCGGATTGGAACTAAGATGGAGGAAGACATTAATTGGTGATATCTCAAACAAGGCTATTCACAGTAAACTGCCATGGTTTGTTTCAGGTATAGTTCAGACACAAACCACGGCAGCTGAGTGTGTTTAATTGAATTATTTCTTAAATTATAACCCTCCTTTGGTGATACATCATGGGTATCCACAATTTCACGCAGTTCAGACACAAACCACAGCAGCCAAGTGTGTTTATTTCTTAACTTATATACCACCTACGTACCATCGCAGAGCCTCCCGCATGTTTTTAAAACGACCATCAGTGCTGACCAAATCTTGCAGCTTGCCAATCATAGCTTTTGTCTAGAAAATCCACAATAAGTGATATATGAAATTTTTCAGAATATTCTCGAAAGACGTCACTATTTCCTATAATTCTGAAATTACAATGATATAGTTTTTCATATCTGAGAGGATAATTCTGAAAAATAGTAAGAACACAACCAGCAAAAATTCCTCTACCTGTTTTGAGAGTTTCTCCCAGGTTTTCTTGAGCCTAAACACAGAACTGCTCATGAGAGCTGAGACAATCTCCAGGACAGCGTTGAAATTGCACAGATGACGACACACGTCTGCTACCACTACCCATTTCTCTATTGCTGCCGCCCGCGATGATGCTGTACTGCGGCTGAGAATTTCTGACGCCACCAGCCTGCTTACCTAAACAATAAAGTAGGGGCGGATCTAGCCTCATCTGCAAGGAAGGGTGCAGGTTTTCCAATGGGATAGTGCATGAGGGAGCCTTACTGCCCACTCTCCTCTGCAGTCTGCAACGCTACTATCCCAACATTACCAGTATTCGAGATGGCCGAATCTGCTGCATGTTCGCCGTTCTGTTATGTTTTATATAGTGGTAATAGTTTCATCATAAGTGGTAGTCTTGTATTTGGAGGAAAACAAAATAATTAAAAGGTGTGGTTTAATTCGATTGCTTCTAAAAGCTTTTCCAGTTCTAATTTCGATACACTTACCTCATTAAATCTTTGACTAACTTTCAGAATATTTGGTGCTTTGATCTCTTTGTCTGTTTTCATCCAAGACAGGTTCAGAAACTCACTAGAAATGGGAATATAAATGTTCAAACTATTGAAATTTACTCAAAGTGGTTTCCCTCTGTAGTAATACTGCACAATACTAATACGGCACCTTATTGGACCCCTAGCGAGAACAATTTAGAACTGATAGAGCTATCCAGTATAAATAAAGTTAGCTTAGTTTAGGTTTCCTCCTGTAATAACACTGGATCAATAAGAGATGATCCTTACTGGACCTCTAGGAAGAACAGTTTAAAACTGATAGAGCTATCCAGTATAAATAAAGTTAGTTTAGTTTAGGTTTCCTCCTGTAATAACACTCGATCAATAAGAGATGATCCTTACTGGATCTCTAGGAAGAACAGTTTAAAACTGATAGAGCTATCCAGTATAAATAAAGTTAGTTTAGTTTAGGTTTCCTCCTGTAATAACACTGGATCAATAAGAGATGATCCTTACTGGATCTTTAGGAAGAACAGTTTAAAACTGATAGAGCTATCCAGTATAAATAAAGTTAGTTTATCTTATGTTTCCTCCTGTAATAACACTGGATCAATAAGAGATTATCCTTACTGGATCTCTAGGAAGAACAGTTTAGAACTGATAGAGCTAGTCAAAGTAGTTACTGACGTTTACTTACAAAGAAGGTATTCTTGAGAACAGGAGATGTTCTGTCATTGTTAGTTGTTCAGCGAGCTGACTTGAGGATAGTTTATCAAAACTAAGCTCCGGTTCTAACGGCGTTTGAATCTAAACACAAAAAAATTCTTAATATTATATCCCACTATAATTATACAATAGGCTTTAACCTTCTACTGTCTTAAATTCATTTATTCACATTTCTCTTGTAGTGACCACCAAGAGATGCCCTTACTGAACCTCTAGGGAGAACAATTTAAAACTATCCAGTGTAAATGATGTTAGATAAAAAACAGTTAACATTACCTGACGTAAGAAAATCCTATCAAACAATTTCTCATCCATTGCTCTTCTCGGGTCTCTATCCAGAGTTCTGTAAATGAAATATAGGGAAAGGTAAACTCGTGCGCACTGTATCACCGTATTACGAGCATAAAGCATCTTACTTAGTGCAGCTTACTTACTGTAAAATGGTGTTACAAAACCGTTTCTGTTCTGCCGTGGTCTTTTCACACTCTTTCACTTTGTCGATGAACGTTTTTAGTCTCAACTGAAGAGCTGGAACATTATGAAAATCCTAAAATACAACAGAAAGACAGTCGAATATCTCCTTTGGACACATTTCTCTGCATCTTGTTACATTTAGGATTCAGTTGAAAGCTCTCTTGTATGCGTGTATAAATACATAAATGTGATTTTGTTATGACCAGTTTCATACCTGACCGTGTTTAATAAGCCAATGATGCAGTACAGTCAATACTCTAGCCAATGGTCCTTGAACTTCACCTGTCCAAACCAGAAATGAAATTAATTAGGTAAGGCATGGTTAGATCATGCAGAGGTAGTACATGTTCTTGAATGTGAGCTACCCTAAAGTGATCTGATGTTGTACATAACTCACTGCTGAGTTAAGCATGGTTAGATCATGCAGAGGTAGTACATGTTCTTGAATGTGAGCTACCTTAAAGTGATCTGATGTTATACAGAACTCACTGCTGAGTTAAGCATGGTTAGATCATGCAGAGGCAGTACATGTTCTTGAATGTGAGCAACCTTAAAGTGATCTGATGTTGTACAGAACTCATTGCTGAGTTAAGCATGGTTAGATCGTGCAGAGGTAGTACATGTTCTTGAATGTGAGCTACCCTAAAGTGATCTGATGTTGTACAGAACTCACTGCTGAGTTAAGCATGGCTAGATCATGCAGAGGTAGTACATGTTCTTGAATGTGAGCTACCTTAAAGTGATCTGATGTTGTACAGAACTCACTGCTG